TATATATATATATATATATATATATATATATATATATATATATATATATATATATTATATATATATATATATATATATATATATATATATATATATATATATATATATATATATATATATATATATATATATATATATATATATATATATATATATATATATATATATATATATATATATTATATATATATATATATATATATATATATATATATATATATATATATATATATATATATATATATATTATATATATATATATATATATATATATATATATATATATATATATATATATATATATATATATATATATATATATATATATATTATATATATATATATATATATATATATATATATATATATATATATATATATATATATATATATATATATATATATATTATATATATATATATATATATATATATATATATATATATATATATATATATATATATATATATATATATATATATATATATATATATATATATATATATATATATAATATATATATATATATATATATATATATATATATATATATATATATATATATATATATATATATATATATATATATATATATATATATATATATATATATATATATATATATATATATATATATATATATATATATATATATATATATATATATATATATATATATATATATATATATATATATATATATATATATATATATATATATATATATATATATATATATATATATATATATATATATATATATATATATATATATATATATATATATATATATATATATATATATATATATATATATATATATATATATATATATATATATATATATATATATATATATATATATATATATATATATATATATATATATATATATATATATATATATATATATATATATATATATATATATATATATATATATATATATATATATATATATATATATATATATATATATATATATATATATATATATATATATATATATATATATATATATATATATATATATATATATTATATATATATATATATATATATATATATATATATATATATATATATGTATATTATATATATATATATATATATATATATATATATATATATATATATATATATATATATATATATTTTTTTTTTTTTTTTTTTTTTTTTTTTTTTTTTTACATATATATTTTTTTAATGTGTGTATGTGGATATGTATATGTATATGTGTGTGTATGAATGTGTGTATGTATATGCATATATATATATATATATATATATATATATATATATATATATACATGTGTGTTTATGTATGTATGCATGCATGCATATTTATATACACATGTACATATATATATTTATAAACATGTGTGTATGTGTGTGTGTGTGTGTATGTGTATGCATTATTGTATTCCAAACACACACTAGGTTGAAAAACTGGGATACCCCAGAGAGAATTAGAACATCATTAAGAATGATTGTTAGATTGGTATGTTATATCTATGATACTAATGGAAAGTATTAACCCTTTTCCTGATGGGAAGAATGGATAAAAGATGTGGGAAATTCTGTGCTCATTTTTTATATTTTTGTGAAATTTCCCTGTTACTAGACAGCTCTGTTAGAGCTTAGCCATAAAGGATTTCACCTTTCCTTGCATTGGCGCAAAAACGTATTTTTACTAGTGCTATAAATATAGATGGTGTTATTTTTATTATAAACATTATAATTGCTATAATGTTATAAACGTTTGTAACAGCAAAATAAGATAACGTTAAATATTTTTGTAAATCAATGAAAAGGGTGAAAGGGCGAGACAGGCGGTACTCGTAACTGGCTCATTGATGATTTAGTACAAGTGTAGCCATCTATGTGTAAAAACAATTAAACAAGTAAACTCACAATGGGCATGGCATATACATACATGCCATGCCCATCAGCAAAGGGTTAAGGTCAGAAGTCAGGATGCACAATGTTATGGTTCCAAATTTTACATGCTGCATTGTGATATATGAATCCAGGGACCAGATTTGGCCAGAAATCTTGCAAACAGTACTTTAGTCATGGAGAAATTAATGGTGTTTTATCTTTTATAGGAATTTAAGTGTAAAGAAGCATGAAAGGATAAAATAGGATGGCATACACAGTGTACAGTATATTCTGTATATCACCATGTGGTTCTTTTGAACAAAAATCAAACTGGGGTTTTTTGTTTTGTATTCTGGAGTTTTTATTATTATTGTTATTAATTTCAAGGACCCTTAGTCAAGAAGAAGAAAGGGAGTGACCAAACCAGCGACTATTTCCGAGCCAAGGGAGAGGCAGTGGGCAGAGTCAGACTCAAAGCTGCATCAAAGTGGAATCCCCCGAGATCACCCTTCAACCTCTTCCAGGAATCTCTTTACCACGACCCTTGGAAACTTCTCATCGGTACTATATTCCTCAACAGAACTACAGGTGAGAGAAGGGAGCAAAGGTGTTGTGTTTTCCCTGAGAATTAGAAGTCTTAATATATTTCATTTCCAGGCCTGGTGATATAGGTTTAAGTATTCTGACTAGTTTATTAAGGTTGCTAGTCTTAACAAATGATAACATTATTTATGATCATTGTCATGAATTTGTGCCAAAAAGTTTATTACTGTAATGACAGTTTCTTTTGTAATTTGTAGAGTACTGTTGAAGATGATACAATTCTGAAAAAAACAATTGTGTTTGCTAACCCTTTTTTTATATTTTTTTATGTGTTGACCTCAGTTTTGGAGAAAGTATATTCAAGGAAAAAGAAACATAAAACATAAATCCATTCCTTGATTTTAATGAGGAAAGGCTTGATGGCTAGAATAACTTCAACCCTACATTCCAGATGACATGACCACCATGTCATGAAAAAATTTGGCTTGAGGGGTGGATGATGTGAACATATTGTCATGGGAAAATTTGGCTGTGGGTCAGGGTGATTGAACTCGCCATTGTGAACATTTGGGCTGAAGGCCAGAGTGACAGGAAAGACTGGGCCCAAGTTCACAAACCTCTTGGAGGGTGACTAGACACATTTGGCTTTAGAAAGAAGCTTTTGTACTATTTCCATTAATAAATGAGTGTGTCCATTAGCCATGACTGGAAGAACAATGGCTTCAGGGGGACACCATTTCCATGTTCAATGTACTATTCCTGGCCACTGTGACCACTGGCACAGGTAATTATTATTATTATTATTGCACTTATGGACTACCTAGAGAGATGATATGGAGTCTGTGCAAGTAAAACTCTGTTACCATCTAGATAAAGCAAATCAAAGGACAAATATGGAAATTGGAAATTGGCAGAAAAGCTAAAAATGTTTATGCATAAAAAGAGAAAATAATATTGCAAAGGAGATGCATAGAGTCTTGTCACTGCACATGAGTGCTCAGGTGTGCCCAGCCTACATGCCTGTCAGAGTGGCCGCTCACACAAGTCTAATGCCTATATTGTGGGGCATGTGATTGCCATGAAGCATTCAGATCCAATGTGTTAACATCTAGTATCACAGATCACTAAGGAAGAAGCGTCAAAAATAGCCCATAGAGTTTTGGATAAAGGCCTATTCAAATGTGACCACAGTGATTCTCATGGCACTTTGTAGAGGATAAAAATGTACATTTTATGAGCATTCTTTTCTTTTACTTTCTTCCCTAAGTGGGAGTCAGCAACTTTTTTTTTTATGATTGAGGTATTACATTTGGTAGGTGTTATGGCAATTCCACACTATACCAGTGGTTCTTAACCTTTTAACTACCACTCCCCCCTTTAGGAATTTGCCCTTCCCTCCATGCCTCCCTTGCATCTGTAAATAGAATTCCCTCCCAGATTTTAAAGAAAATTATAAGTATTTTAATTTTTTTAACCCAATGGTGATGGGTGAAGAAAACGAAAAAAAAACTCTATGCTCTGGCAAACAATGGCGGCCCGGCGAATTTGAGCGCATGAGTTCGATACATCAGCCTGAATCACTGGCTCACTGTGCCTTGGCCACAGCATACAGCCGCACGCCAGCTTTCGAGCGGTTTGTTTTCACACCTATCGGTGTCACCCGTCGGGAAGGGGTTAATGAATATGAATAAGTCGTATTTTAGTATGTGACTATGCTTTTGTTAAGAGAATAACTAAGATAATTACAGAAATTCCTTGTTGTTCTTCTTCTTCTTCCTCTTGTTCTTGTACTTCCTCTTCTTCTTCTTCTTCTTCTTCTTAACTGGTCTATACCAATAGTCTAATTTAAATTCTCTTTGCTGGATATGAAAGATAACTGCATAATCAAAGGCACTGAAGCTTTTTTTTTAATATGCAGTAGATGTTATTATGAGATGGAATAAGCTTAAGGGATGATGTGTGGTACAGTAGCATGTTGTTTGTCTATAGCAATAACAGAAGTGGACATGGCCTCCCATATATCCAGACTGAATGGACTATAACTATACATAATAGTACTAAAGTGATATAACATTAACCAAATGGTGCCAAGAACATATGATGGTTATTGTAGTATTATATTGTGAAATGTTTTTACTCGTAAATGACTCCACAAGTGCAAAACCACTAAGGAGTCAGTCAGTAGACTGACCTGATTTCACTGTTCCTTTAATTTTTGGAAAAGTATTTTTTTTCTAATGCTTTTAATTTCAGTGCTGTCTTTATTATATTTATTTAATGATTATTACATATTATTTCTTTAACAATTAGCAATTACAAAGAATAATATTTCCAAAAATCTTGATAAAGGGTAAGCAGGTGAGATACAAAGGATTATTAACATTTTAGTGACTTAGTACTTGAGTAAATGAATAGAGTTAGAATTTCATAATGTACTCCATGCTCATACATTACACATGCAGATTTTTTCATCTTATTATAGGGTAACTAAATATATAAGTATTTTTGTTGTTACTATCACCAGTATCACTGCTATCACTGTTTCATTGCCATAGTTTGCTTTAAGACTAAATCTTGTCACAGGTGAAGAGGCCTTGGGTAAGAACGTCTTATGGGACTTCCTTGAGAGGTGGCCTACTCCAGAGGACACGGTCAAAGCATCCTGGGAAGAAATAGCTGAGCTCATTCAATGTCTAGGGCTGCATGAGAAGAGAGCAAAAATGATTATTAGGTTTTCTGGTAAGCTTCCATTGTTGTAATTGATTTCTGTTAGAAATGTGTATTTACTTGGGGATTCCTTGTTAAGAAAATTTTGAATATTGTTGATATGTAGTAGCCTCTGTAGAATATTAATTATACTATTTTTCACTGCTTTATATATATAAAGTAGTTATGCATATCCAACTGTTTTGAATATTAACAATGCATTTGTATTTGAAAGTTAAGTACCATTAATTTTCATGTTTTCTTTTCAGAGGAATATCTAACCAAAGACTGGGTTTACCCAAAGGAATTGCATGGTATTGGAAAGTATGGAAATGATTCTTATAGAATCTTCTGTGTTAATGAATGGCGCAAAGTGAGACCCTCCGACCACATGCTGAACTTTTATATTGACTGGCTATGGGATAATCACCGATATCTTGGCATTGACTAGTGGATATCTAGTGACTTAGTAGTTGCGTTCAAAACTATGGCCTTGAACTGAGGTCAGGAATTTTTAAGCCTTAGGGAACTACTAATGCAGGAAAGTTAACATCCAGCTAGTGGTATTTATGTTGGAAAAGAAGTGAACAAAGCATTCTATGATATTTTATAAGGCCTAACGTTTCAGGATTTTAGTAAATTAATTTTCTTAAATAAAGTACTGAGAATGCAGGTGAAGTCTTTTATATTAAGTGTTATTGATATTAAGCACGAGACATGCAATGTCAAGGAGGTTTACAGTATTCTGATCTCTTTTTACATAGATTTAGAGGATGTAAATTATCATTTTCACTTCTTCACTTCCCACATTTCCTTTCACTGTATGTCATCCACGCTAAATAATATTTTTCTGTGTCACGGTAATAGTTATATATGTTTGGCTGAGTCAATAGCAGAGCAACATTCTGTTTCTAAACTTCCTTGTCTTTATTTAATATTTTTAGCATTGTGTATTTTCTTTCTTTCGTTCTTTTTTCTTCTTTTTCTTTACTGCCAAGAAGAATATAAATGACTAGAATTAGTTAAGCAGTACTACCAGCAGTAAAAGAGAAAAAAATTGTCTGGCACGATCCACCTCATAGGTTTTTCTGCATGTGTATTGAAAAAAGGACTTGACTGCAAAACCATCTTGATATCATGCAAGATGTTTTCAGAAAATGAGAAAACAATGAGTGTATGAATGTTGTTGTTATACATTTGCTCAAATACTCTGGACTTGTAAATGTGACTTGAGTTGAAGGACCAGGAGGAGGAAAAAGTAATGGAAAATAAAGAAAAGAAAAAAAGAAAAAAATGTGTCAAGCATTAAAGATGGAAAGCAATATAAAGCATGTGTATTGTGAGGAGTCCCTTCCAAGTTTGATAAGTGATGAATTTCAGAGAGACAAGTGGAACTTCGTATCAACTAATATAGTAATATTCTTTTTTTTCCTTTTTTTATATTACTTTATTTTTGTGTGTTAAGAATAACTTTCATTAATATCTAGAATTTGTTTAGAGTGTAAGGTATAACATTTAAGTTTTTTTTTTATACTCCAGTTTTCACAATATTTGACACAGTTACAACTAACTGAAGAAGATATTGTGGCAAGAAATAAAAAGTTTGTATGTGTAGAAAGAAAATCACTGAGTAAGATAGAAGAATATGATTATGCTGAGGTTAACAGAGAGAAGGAAATCTTTAAAAAGCAATTTGTTTTTTTAGTAAATAAAAAAGAAACCTTTTGATTTTTAAAAAATCTTTTGGTTTAATACACTGTGTTGTGCAAGAAATTTTATGTAAAAAATCCACAGTATTTTCTGAAAGTTGATGTAGCTCATACAATTGCCTTAAATGTTGATATATTTTTCCCTTTATTTATTAATAGTTTTATTTGCACTAAACTTACATTACAGTCAGTAAGGAATGATAACATTGATGTTAATGTTAAGTTCAAATTATCCTTGTTAATGATTTATATTATAAGAAATTGACAGTGTTAATGTTACCAAGTAAAAATAGTATGTTATTAATATTACTATTTTTAGAGCTACTTTAACCATTGTAATTAGTCGTTAATTTATAATTTTCTTTACAGTTATTATACTCATTGTTTTGTCCTTATTGTTGAGGTTATATATTCTGTAAAGTTATTAAGACTGTAATAGGCCAACCATTTTTTTTTTTCTTTTCTCTGTTTATTGGTAATTTTATTATTAATGGTAGGAAGTGTTTGTATTCATTTTTCAAGCATGTTATCACACTTAACATCATCATTACTGTTGCTGTTATAAGTTTTGTTAAAGTTAGATGATTGATAGTTTTCAGATAATGTCTTTACGACTTTTTTTTCCATAATTCAAACAGTTGAAGCGTAACGGTAGTTGCATTGTTAAATTTTCATCTATATGATTATCATTCTTGTTATCATTAATTATTGGATTGTACTAAAGAATATAAGAGGAATCAGATTTATAGCGGATGAGTGAAGGATGCGTGAGAGAGAGTGTAGAAAAGGGAAGAAAGGAAGGCATATTTGTGTGAAAGTCTATCACCCATGCTACTTTCCTCATTGTTTACCGTATTGAACTGCAGAATGAGTGTTCAGGTTTCAAGATGATCTTAATGGTGCTTGTAAGGGACTCAGTTAATAAAAAGATAAATACTTGATTAAAATAAAATTCAATTACCTACAGAAAATGAAGTAAAATCACCCAGAGAAATGCTTTATTGTAGGTTATTAGGCTTACTATGTACCAATAAGTTTTGTGGTGTAGATTTTGAACTCTTAAGTAACTGTTTGTATATTTTACTGAACACAAATCCAGCTTCATGCAATCATCTCAGTAGATAATGTAATAATGAAGTCCCTGATTAAGAACTCCTTACTTTTTTACTGTTATCTTCTCCACGGCAGTTTTTACATAGTATACCTTGAGGGAAGCTTTTTGGCAGAATGAGGTCAGTGACAACAGCAACTTCAGTTCTAAAAGTTACATCACCTATTGAACTTGCATGAACTATCATATGTGTGAATGTACAATCTAGGCAGTGGAATCTTAAAGGTTGCTGTGTATGTGACAGGAACCAGAGTAAAACTACACCCAAAAAAAAAGAAAAAAGAAAAAAAAATGTTTGTTTATCTTTTTACTTACATTTGCATTTTGGATAATCTTTTCTTCCTGAAATTACTGGATTTTCTTCAATAGTTTCCATAATACTAGCAAAGTTATTGTCTGTGATCTATAATTACTGCAAATAAACCTTTCTGATAATATGTTCAAGGTAAATCACAGACAAAAATTATTGTTTAATTATTTATTCATGGTTTCAGGCACAGTTTTGTCTCGAATTTTATAATCTTGCTTCATTACTGGTTTTTCTCTCTGTTTGGGTTGTAGATGAAATTGTAAAGGAAGCACAGAATTTGGATGGTTGGGTGAAACAACAAATAGATTTTTAATGTTATATTGTTATAATAGAACTAGATATATTTGTTTTTTTCCAATGAGAAGGGTTCTGGAGGAATAAAGATCTGGGGCTTTTTTCAGTGAATACGAATTTTAAGCTGATGGATATAAGACTAAGAAAGATGATTTTTAAATGGCATTGTACAGTATAGACTTATTCATGCTGGTAAATCAACCAAAACAACACACTGCTCTATTGCTTTCCAAATACCTTTTACTGCTTTGGATAAATTCTTTTGAAACCTTTTTATATGTCTAATGATTTCTTTTATTCTTTTCTTTTTGTTTGATCTTTAGTGTCCTCATATGATTCATAACAAGGCTGCAGTTGATAACACTTGTTACTATCACCAGTATCACTGCTATCACTGTTTCATTGCCATAGTTTGCTTTAAGACTAAATCTTGTCACAGGTGAAGAGGCCTTGGGTAAGAACGTCTTATGGGACTTCCTTGAGAGGTGGCCTACTCCAGAGGACACGGTCAAAGCATCCTGGGAAGAAATAGCTGAGCTCATTCAATGTCTAGGGCTGCATGAGAAGAGAGCAAAAATGATTATTAGGTTTTCTGGTAAGCTTCCATTGTTGTAATTGATTTCTGTTAGAAATGTGTATTTACTTGGGGATTCCTTGTTAAGAAAATTTTGAATATTGTTGATATGTAGTAGCCTCTGTAGAATATTAATTATACTATTTTTCACTGCTTTATATATATAAAGTAGTTATGCATATCCAACTGTTTTGAATATTAACAATGCATTTGTATTTGAAAGTTAAGTACCATTAATTTTCATGTTTTCTTTTCAGAGGAATATCTAACCAAAGACTGGGTTTACCCAAAGGAATTGCATGGTATTGGAAAGTATGGAAATGATTCTTATAGAATCTTCTGTGTTAATGAATGGCGCAAAGTGAGACCCTCCGACCACATGCTGAACTTTTATATTGACTGGCTATGGGATAATCACCGATATCTTGGCATTGACTAGTGGATATCTAGTGACTTAGTAGTTGCGTTCAAAACTATGGCCTTGAACTGAGGTCAGGAATTTTTAAGCCTTAGGGAACTACTAATGCAGGAAAGTTAACATCCAGCTAGTGGTATTTATGTTGGAAAAGAAGTGAACAAAGCATTCTATGATATTTTATAAGGCCTAACGTTTCAGGATTTTAGTAAATTAATTTTCTTAAATAAAGTACTGAGAATGCAGGTGAAGTCTTTTATATTAAGTGTTATTGATATTAAGCACGAGACATGCAATGTCAAGGAGGTTTACAGTATTCTGATCTCTTTTTACATAGATTTAGAGGATGTAAATTATCATTTTCACTTCTTCACTAACACTGAGTGCTCTTACCATTTTTACGGTAGTGATTTAGTTTGGTGTTTGCTAGAGACGCAGATAAGTGCAGGCAGTGTGAAACACAATATTCAAAATCTTGTGGATATTCATGTATCAGTGTGTTCATAATGGTAACAATAGCAACATTACCTTATTGATTTACTGACGTGTATGAAGCTAAAGATTCATGGCTGAAAGTGAAAGTGATAATGTGTTGTGGAAGTAACTATTAATGCCATGGCATGAATGCTGAAGCACTGCTTTAATGTAATTTTGTGGAAAGTTATCTAGTATGCAAAATACTATGTGGTAATGTATGCTGGGGGATTTGTACTGTTTTGATTGCAGTCAGATATAAATTGTTCTATTCTCTGGTTTAGTGTATGTAATTACTGTACAGTTTAAAAAAGAAGTTTAATACACCCATAAGCACTCAATTTTTCCCCTCTGTAGTAGCCATAGTTGGAGCCAGTGAAAACCTGGAAACCTACACTCACTGCATTTGCCTCATCCTGAGCGTAAGCTTTGTTGAACAAAGTAGGAACAGTGGCCGTGAGTTGTTTGAATATGGCTGGCCATGAACTCACATTATTGAGGGGGGAAAATTCACGCTTACAAGTGTACCTCATTACGTCACAGGGCTGAGAATATGATGAGTTATCTGTCTTCAAAAAGATAGTATGCAGTATAATAAAAAAAAAGTTCTGTAATTTTAATTTTGTTATGAATAGGTTTACGTATTTAGTGCACACCAAACGTGGTGGCTCAGATGTCTGGAATTCCCATTGGAAACTTTTTTGAAGTAGGCCTATTTTTCACGTCCATCAAAGATTGTGGATGCTTACCTCAAACTTTTGATACACTATCTAACATCTATTCAATCCCAAAATCATTACAAATACTTTGGAGAATAAAGTGCTGTAAAGCTTCCAGAGACAGCATTCTCCTCCTAAAGAGCTCATTACCTCATTACAAAATACCTTTGCATCTGCCAGTATTTTCAGTTAATTCTTTGAAGTTTTGTTTTAAGAGTTTCCATTTTGGTGAGTTTTGCTGACTTCAGGAATATAATATTTTTTCTTCTGTGGACAGAAATGTACTGACTAATCATACTCTTGTTATCAAATTATTATTTGCAGTTTTCATTTTGAAGTTATGAGAATGAAAACAATGGTGGTGCATAGATTCTAACTTGGAATACCACATTTTCAGTAAAGTCCTGTTGTTTTAGAAAATTCTAAGTATTTTGAAGAGACAACCACTGAAATAATTATCAGTAGGAGAATAAAATGATAAATAAACTTTAGATTTTTTATGCTCAGTGTATGCCAGCAAATCTAGTTTTAAAATGAAATTTAAGAAATTAGAAAATATGAGATGATGTAAACAGTTAAAGGAAAATTATCATGATATAAAAGGAAACACTTTGGAGTGTGATTAAATACTAGATTTTGGAATTGGATTTTTTTTAACATCAAAGCCAAGCATGCAGTGGCTCATTTGTGGCCAATAAAGATATGAAGGTTGTAATTTTTACTTGAGAATCATCAGCTAAGTCAGTGTTTCAGCACTTTGAGGATAATTTAGAATTGTAACTCTACAACATGTTTCATACACAAAGATATTTACTTTGAGGACACTAATGACAAGATGAGCAGGTGTAGGCTTAATGGACAATGCATTCCAAGTGGTATTGATACTATAATTTTCCTAAAGCCTGCAAAAATTATTAGGTAATTTGTAAAATGATGTACAAATAAAGGAGATTTAAAGATAAGACTTTTTTTCTAACCAAACATCCAAAATAAATAGCATTAAACAGAAATTCACCTTTACCCTGCAGTAAAAACAAAATTGTGAATTTTTGACTTTGTTCACCAGCAAGTTGCCCATTCCCAAGAATGTACTTACAATCATAAATAAATAAATTCAAAACAGTTCTGTCAATAAGTAAAGTACATAAAATATTTCTGAAGTTACATGTAAGAAAATATTTCCATGAGTTTTTTTCTACTTACAGCTTCAAGCCTTGATTGTTAAAATCACATTTTAGAGACAATAAAAATTTAAATATAACAAAAATATTTTAAGAAGGCAAATAAAACACCAAACAAGAATTAACTACAGAAGAGAATGAATTAAATATAATAATTTCCTTTATTCTATATATAATATAATGAAGATGATAATTCTTTCATTAGATTTTGTTTCATTTTGACTGTTCAGGCCATGAGTTATCAGTAATAAATGTACCAGCAACACACATATGCCATTTTAGAACAAACTTTATGTTTTCCATGGTTGATTTATTCCTCATCCTACCCCATTTACTTCCTGTCTTTCCACCAGTTAACTACCATACTATCTTATAATACCATGACTTGAAATTTTAGACATTTTGTTGTAATAAAGAACTCCTTTAAACGCCTTTCACCATAATACATTACTATAGTGCTATGTGGCCTTTGATGTGTAACACATTTATTTGTTTGAAGTAGTAATCATTACTAATTCATTCCTCGTTTTTGTTTTTGTTTTTTAATTGGCTTAATCTTACTACTGTCAATTATAACTAATTT